GGAGACAGAAGACAAGTATGAACTGATAAATGATAATGTATGAATGAATACTATGCATCCTCCAAATGCATTTTATAGTAATATTTATAACTACTACTATTAAACAGGGACTCTTTCTCAAACAAAGCTTTTGACTTACAGTTRCAAAGTGAATAGAAACGCGAAGACAAGATATATACTGTATCATTCAATGTTGACTTTGCCATTGCTTTTCCTTTTGCTAATAACATTTTGCATTACCAGGCATCACTTCATAGTGAAAGTAGGGATCAGTTGAGTTACTTCATATTGAGCCGTTCGATTCAGAAACGGGGAATGCTTGTTATAAGTCTGGAACTAGCTTAACTAGTCTGACGTTTTAAAAAAAGGGCTGGTGACGACACAACTTCTGTCCAGAAGATCAAATATGAATAACATCAAGACAACTAATAGAGAAATTCATAATGRAATAATGACACTGCTCTTATTCAAGTAGAGACTGAGCACAAACAATATCCCAGAAAATTCGGTGCAAGTTATGAGTGTCATGATATTAATACATGAATTTCATTCCATCTATTCCATTCGTTACTAATATTACTATGGCGATTATTATTCTTACTAGTGATGTACTATCATGCATCATCCAACTAAGAATTGTCTGCTCGTCGCTTTATGTATTCATTGATAATATAAACACCTTTTCTACTATTAAGTAGTCGGACATCCTCTGATTATTCCGTACATCACAAACCTTTCATAATTACATGAATTACATACATCAACAACAAGAAAAATATAAAAAATACATTTAAAATTCACGGGAATTCGCMTTTCGATGAAGTCATCATTAGTTTTTACCAGACATTGGTTTTGCTATATCGTCAATTTTGTCATTACTACTGAGGTCTGAAATGGTACTATGAATAGATGAAATGAAAACATCTTACTGAAGTACTCAAAACAACTCCTACACCAGATGGCGATCAAGAAATAAACACACACAATTTTTCACTCAATTAATARCTTACCGCGAAGTCAAGTGTAGAATAGCGCGTCCATCTTCACTTCTTCCTTTTGGCAATTGATTTGTCTTGTTTGTCTGGCAGGACATTTCATAGAATTATTAAGGCATTCGATACCTCATTAATAAGAACGAATCGACGACCTTTTTCGTAGGACTWCACACTTTCACACGATGTGACACATGATTTTTATATTTTTATGTTGGTTTCATACTTCAATTTACAGAATTGAAAATCAAGTAAGTAATTAGAACAATAACGGAAAAAACCATTTACATTAAAAAAACTTTACAAGTAGGTTGTTTTTCACCCGTCTGTATAAAAAGGTTATCAATTACTCGCTTTTAGAAGATATTTCCTGAAAAGGGATCGTATGTCCCCACTGTAAGTAGCTATAAGTTATGGCCATTTTTCTCCCTCCTACATCGATAACTTCACCCACTCTAAATCACTTTGCAGCCGACATTTTTGAAAATTTGACATAAAAGAAAATCTATATGAAATATGCCTTTGCGATCAATTTTGGACATTTTCAAGTCAAAAAAAAAATCGACCCATAAATAACAATTGTTTTTTGTAATTATGATTTTTTTATTATTATTATTATAATTTCAAATAGTAACGGCAACTTTACTAACAAGCCTACTTTAGTGAAACATATTATACATGTTTTTTTTTCTCTTTGTCAAATACTTATTATAATGTATTTTTCTGCTTTTTTTGCCATATATTTAATGATTAGATTAATTTATTGTAAAAAGTCTCATCGATTCGAGAGCAAATAGACTCAATACTAGAGAGCTGAACCATGATGTTAGAGAGTTTTAGATTCACGTTTATATACTGCAAACGCAAAACGTCAAATTGGTTTTTATGCTTTGTCTCAAAATTTCAAACAAACGTAAAAACGCTTCGAAAGTAATGCGCTTATGCACGAAAAAGTGATCTCTCTTATACACAATCGGAAAATAACGGAGCTTTAATACAGAAAAACAGTGATCACGTGATCAGTTTTGAGGTTTGACGTTCGCCGTAAACGCAGTGGCGGATCCAGGATTTTTCAAAGGGGGGTTCCACAATTTGTTTTCACATTTTTCTAAAATGAACTTTTTTACTGTGCCTAATTGTAGCATGTAACATGAATGTATTTAATAAAGATTCATTCTACGATGTGCTTTCATTTCATTTCAATTATCATTAATTTTATTTTTTATTTTTTTATGCTTGAGGGGGGTTCCTAGGAACTCATGGAACCCCCCCTGGATCCGCCACTGAAACGCGTATCACGGCAAACGGCAAACAACAGAAAAGATCACGTGACCTACTTTTGGGGGATTTGCCGTTACAGTTTCAACGCAAGAGTTGGTTATTTTGGAGTTGCCACAATCGTGAAAAGTCGCTCTTTCAAATTACTACCAAAAGCACAAGGTCCGGCACGAAGYTCTTAGGTATTTGGTTCAGCTCTGACGTTAGACGGTTGCCGTAAACGTGATGCTTAAACTCTCTTGTGTATCCTTCCCCCAAGCTTTAATTCTAACTACGTGACTAATGGACAATTTGTGCGTCAGCTCTACTATACCGTGCATTTTAAATGAGTTAAAGAATGTTTAAAATAAAGCCAAAAATAAAATCGAATATCGTTCAAGGAATGGAAAAAAATAAACGAAATAAAATAGAGGGTATTAAATAGGGGCGCACGGAATGATTCTATCAAGCAGCCATGGAATATTCTGTTTATCATGAAAGCGATTGATTAACCTGGTTCTGGTTGTGTTTGAACTATTCGCAACAATTAATCGATCTTTTAAAAAACGGTATCTCTTTTCTTAACTTTTACATAGGTGAATCTCATTACACCATTACAAGTCACATTACGGACAATTGTGCAATATAAAAAATATTTTCTGAAATGCCGAAAAAACGCAACAAACTGAGCACATTTCAGTGGATCGACCTGGATCTCAAACACTGCTAGGGTAGCATGCCCTTAGATACCCACTGAGAGATGATTTTGGCGATCGACTGTCTCATATTAAACCACTGGAAACGTCACCTGCGGCCTGGCATCCACGGCTAGAGAAATCCTATATATCATTGTACGCTTTTTTTCATGTCGTTTTTGAAACATGAAACAGCTTGTAGCAATTTATACAATAGSTGACCATAGATTTCCTGTCTGACTGAGTGGGCCACCTATTCSACTGCTCATACAAAAACGCGAACATGCAAATGGTATGTGACTCCGACCCTATAGAAGCGGTACTCTGACGGTTTTCAAGTGAAGAGAGATGGATGTTTATCAAACAATATATAACAATAAGAACTTGCATTACGAAACTTTGCGTCAATTCAAATTTCTAAGCATTTATGGATGCTCGCGCCTATTTTGCCAACTTTACGACTACAGAAAGATGCAAATCACATTTTTTGTCTTTCTTTTTTTGAGGATGCTGGGAAAACGTTCAGTGCGACGCATCTCAAAACCTTGTGCAGCTACACTTGATTCCTTCAGTAAGTCCCTCTGAAATGTACTTTTTGTATTTTTCTTTCTTTATTGGGAAATTTTGAGTTTCATCGGGAAASKTCTTAGAACCTTTTCCTCTCCTGGAGAAAATTGTTATAGTCTGAATGTACTATGATCTTTCTGGCAACCACTAGTCTCCTCGCAGCCGTTCTTAGTGGCGGGCTCCCTGTCCCCCGCCCCACAAACGGCTGCTACAATCCGAGCTTTGATCGTTCCCTTTGTCTTTTTCCTTCTTGGGGGTCTATTTGAATTAACCAATCACATACCATGACAGTCTACTCCCGCTGTTACCGCTAAGCCAATGAGATGCAGGGTAATGAAAGTTGATATTTTGTTTGCGCCAAACTTCGTAAAACCGTTAAAACTCTAGCCTGAGTATCAGGCTATTAAAACTCATCCGAATATATCAAGAAATCAGTCAAGATGTTTTACTTGTTCTTCCCTGCCGGTTAGCAAAGATAAGTTTTACATCTTTGGGAAAACAAGCACAGATAAAAATAAAATTATATCATTTAAAATTATAAAAGATTCTTTGCAAGTTTAAGTAACCGCGTAACCTGCCGATGCAGATTTGTTTGTCTGTAGACAATGTTTTCAAAGCTTGAATAATACGATCGCGCTTCAAAGAAACTAGAAGAAACACGAAAAGAGCTTGATCAGTCTTTTGTTCAGCAAGAGAAACGACCACGAGCAATAGTTACAAGAGAATATGACGGAAGTCTGCGTGCCACATGTCAACACCAAGAGCTGCGAAGTGTCCTGGACGTTTCGTTGAATCATCGAGGACTTTAAAAAAGCTTGAAAAATCAAGGATTTACCGAAACCAGTAGGTAAATTAACAAGCACATCTCAATTTTCATCTATAAATTTTGTAATGGGAAGCTTCTGGGGACAATTTAAGCACGATATCTTGAATTTTTGAGCAGCAAACACAAAACTATCCGCGATGTACGTGTCACCCGCCATGTCTAGTATGATCGCACTTATAATACGCGAGTTCCTATTGGTCAATAATTTTGGCGGGAACTGCTGCAAGGAAATGAAAGCCGAACTGTGATTTGAGAAACGATCAAAGCTCGGATTGAAGCAGACGTTTGTGGGGCGGGGGACAGGGAGCCCGCCACTAAGAACGGCTGCGAGGAGACTAGGCACCACTTGCGACTTGATGTAACGGAGCCGAATATTTCTCCCAGGAACCCCRGCGTTGACTCATTCTACAAGCTCTTTGTTTTTGCTGAATTACCGAATGATACCACGAAGTTAATTATGCGGTACGTATTTAGTTTGAATCGAATTTGCGTGAATCATGAATCATTCAGTGAATAATGCTTTTAGGTAAACCTTCATTACGATTCATTTTGCGAAACTTCCAGTGACTTCGTCGTGAGAATTTGKTCTTAATGCTCATGATACATGCTACTATCATTGACGCTCCTATTCATTTATTCACTGTCTACGAGAATGGGCGTCGATATTGGAAAATGGGTTTTATTCATAAACAAACATGTTTTATTTACAGTGCGATTTCTTTAGGAAATCCTGAACTCTCAACGAGAAGTAGTAGAGTTTGACTATTTCAATGAAGTCAATAAATAATTATAGATATATATTTTCAATATMAACTGTCTAACATGTCCACTTACACTTTACCCTATTGTCTCTACACAAAATYTCTACTAGTTTTCACTCGACATGGCCTTTAACAAAGTATAACAGTCCTCGAGCGAATAAAAATTCTGAACATTTAATAATAACTCAAAGGCAAAGCTCGAGGTAACACAATTTCAACTATTAAGCTCAGTAAGCATTTAAGCACAAACAGTTAATCACGAACCATGCTCAGTCAAGACTTCTTTAAAAAAAGTTTTTAGCTAACTTGAAAACTTAGAGTAAAAATTTTCAATCACTCGTTATTCTTCAGAACTTCATTAAGATAACTATATCTTTTTTACATAAAAATGTATATTTACACTTAATTGCAAAAAAGAAGAGATGAAAGTATGTATTTTTATTTGATACGCTGCACGAAAACAGAAATCGGATTGGTATGAAGCAAGCCTTACATGATTTTCTTTTTTAAATATGAATGKTTGCTTTTACCGTTCATTTTTCGATTTTATATGTCAACGCTTTTGCAATTAGGTGTAAAATAATTATAGAACGCATTAGAAATTATTATAAGTGCAAATGGTTATATTTTTATAGGGGATGCCGCAAGTTGAAAATACATTCTATGGTGATATGGATTTTATCTTCCTTACTTTTACAAATCCAAGAAAAAAATACTCAGGAGAAAGAAAAGGTTAACTGAAAAGCTACCTATCATCATTGCTCACTTTAAGCTATTTATAGTCTCAGGGTCTTAGTTTTGATGTAACAACTTCTAATCTTTTTCATTGATTTTTTCGGATACCTCTAACAATCGACCAATGCTGCATTGCATACTATCTAATATTAATCTATATACAACTTGTAAGATTTTTCATATACRTTAATTCTAACAAATTCTATTTCTAATTTTGAAACCGTAACATTTTTGTTAAAAACCTATTTTCAACATTCCTGTGGAGAGTTGTACAAAAGGGATAGCAGTATTGTATTGTATATTATTCAGCGCGCAAATTCTTATCCAACGAATAAAATCCATAGAGTGGATAAGATTTGACCGGTGGATAACTTTATCCAACCTTCTTACAGCCTGCACAGAAAGTATAACAGTTTCTACTTGTCTACTCCTTAAAGAGTGGTATATTACGCTGATTTAAACGTATTGTGGAAAAGAATTTCGATTTTCATGCCTCTGTTCGTCCATGAATGTTTCTTGAATCATCCAGTCACCATAGTATTTCTTTTCTGGTGATCCAAAATGTTCGTGAACATGATAGTTTCTTTGTATAATACAGTGTGGACAATCACACTCTTCTTCTATAGTTCTTTCCAACGTCCTGTACAAACTACTATTTCGTTTTTGAGGCGAATTATCACTGACCGATCCAGAACCAGAGTCATATTCAGTAGCTGCTGCACATGAGCAGCGAGGAGTGGGTTTGTCGCATAGCAAGTCATGTCGTCTCTCACGCTTTGGTTTTTGTCGTYTGCTATCACTTTTAGGTTTAACAGATTTTTTACGATTTGCCYTGTTTAAAGGTTCGGCGCTAAACGCCTCCTCCTCAAGGGGTAATGGTGTAGCTGCTGACCGTATTGTTGATTCTGATGTAGTTGAGCTGCCGCTRGATGTTGAATAACCATGTTGACGTCGTAGTTTCACAAACACTATCAGCAATAGGGTGCCCATGATAATAATGCCGACGATAAAAATGGCTAGGAAAGAGATTTCCGCAGTTCCCAAAGTTTGCCGTCTTGTGGAAATGAGTCTCATAGCTGTGGATGCTGAAACAAAATTATAAATTTACTATTTTTACTGACTTGCTGACTGGAGGTCTATTTTACAGAAGAAGGCGGGTATTTAAAATGCAGCTAGTTAAGGATGATCATCATCTGCAAAATGTCAAATCGGTTACTTGATGCTCGAATCATAACTTTGGCCTCTTTCAAGCAATTAATATCAAACTTGACCAATGACCACCTTGACCAAATGCAATCATTTACTTATACTATGATATCGTCGAATTTTAATTTATGCAAGTAATTAGTAATTTACATGCCAATTAACATATGCACTGTTTTCACAAAAAATACATTTTTAGAAAATTGTTCCGTTTTATTTTGATGAAAATTTTAGGAACCATTTGGATGCTGGTACTTTTCAGATAATGATCAACTTTATACGAGAATGTTGATGGATCTGGTTTCAAACACAGAAAAACAGATGGAAGAATCTCTTATCCGTTAAACAAGAGCACGAAGCTCTGCTAAAAACAGCCATTTATCAATTACCTTCCATTTTATATGAGGCAGTRAACCCTCTACGTGTACCGTTGATCCATTTGCCGTCATGATAATAATGTAGATACAAACTATTTCCAGTCGATGTAATAACACCGTCATAGTCATCAGATTTGATTTTGGCTAGTAGATTAGCACTGGAATCATTACCATCCCTGATAAAGATCGCATCACCCTCCAGCTTCAAAGCATCAAACCATAGTTTAACTCGTCTGTTTCCCTTTACGTTAATCCTCCATGTACACTGAACTCGACCGGGTTTTTTGAAGAGCTGAGGAGATGACGTAATCATGCCTTCAGCGTTTGTCAGTCTGCAACCACATGCGCATGCGTTTCTCGTTTCTGTCAATCAGAACAAGAGAAAAGGGTTATAGATAGTGGAAACTAGCGGTTGGTAAACTAGCGTGAGCTACGTCGGTGTTTCTAAAGAAACAGTTGTGTAAAGTGATAAGTTTAACACCGTAAAAAAGTAGGTGAAAGAACTTACTGACTTCGGACGTTAATCCTTCGTCGGAGTAAAGAATCCAGAATCCCGCAAAAATTTCGAAATTCAAAAAAACATTCTTTACAATGRCGAATCTCAAAGCTTGGAGTCCGGAATCCTATGTTTCGGAATCCGGAATCCAGCGCTTGGAATCCGGAATCCTCTAGTTCTCTGGATTCAGACAAAGTACTTCAAACTCCCTTTCATTGGTAATTTCTCTTGTTTTATTCAAAACAAAATTAGGYAAATTTCTAAACACTTTTGCGATAAATTAGATATCAATTTGGTTTTTAGCTATGGCGTATCATAACGATAATTTTTTCATAATTTAGTCTATGTACCGACCGTTGTGATTAGATATACGTTCATATGTAACCAATATGTATCGTCAAACTTGTAATACTTCAACTAAAGAAGTTTTTATTAAAAATTAAATTGGATCATTTGTGCTACCATTTCAATATTTGTCTCATTATGTACAAATAAATAATCATCATCATTATTATCACTCTTATTTTGAATAAAATAATAATTATTATTATTATAATTATTATGTACGCGGCCGAATTTGATTTGTATAAAATCAATTTTTTAAGAAGATATTTTACGACAAAAGTTTACTCAAGTATTCTCTGATTTGGAATTAAAATTTTCTGGGTGAAAAATGAAGAACATTTTATCACTTTTAACATTCTTTTTACAATTTGTGTCAAAACATTTTCAAAATTAACAGTTAAAATTGACAAACTTTTCATTAAATAGAATAGCGAAACAGGKATAAAATATTACCTGGGCAAGGCCTTAGAACGCACGGCTTCGACATCACAGCTCGCCCAGCACAGGCTTTCTTTTTGTCTTGAGATGTAGTCAGGCTTAGGCAGAATCTATATCTATACTGTCGGCCTCTTCCACAAGAATTTGAACACAAGTTCCAAAATGACCAAGAACTCCACCCATCGTAGATAGACTTTCCTGAAGAAAATAAAAACAACAAACAACTAAATGACACTGACCACAAACATAATTAGCCGCAACTTTTTTTTTCTTCGTATGTGGGTTGGTTTAGTTAGTTATTAGTTAACTTGTTAAAAGATTGGTTTTCAAGTTARTCGGTGTGCTAGACTGCTGATGGTTGGTTAGTTGCATAGTTGTTGGTTGGCTACACCACCTATTTCGACACAAAGCATACGTTGTACACACAGGAACGCATCTAATAGCTGTATTAGTCTTATTTTACTTCTACTTTACCCGTACTCCATGCATATTGCGCGCATTTTGCTTATTTGTGTTTGCTAGCGCATTTTCCTTTTTTTCATATTTAAAAGAATGTACAGATGGATCGAAAGCTCGAAAAATAAAAAATAAAAATTTTTTCGAAGTATCAACTTTTATCAACCTACAAACATCATTCTACCCAAAACAAGCGATCTTAACAAACTATGGTTTAGATTTATCTGGATAGATATTGGTAATTGATTTTAATTGCATCGGGATTCAGTTGTTTCGTTAGCTCCATGATATTACATGTAAATCCTTGTGTGAGATAGAGAACAATTCATTTTAGAAATAGGAACTGATAAAAAGTATGCATTTCTATTTATTTTTGTACATCTTTTGAATCAGGTGCAAATCACACAAATGAAGATGAGTCATAGAGTCATAATATAATATTCAAATGGCAATTTTCCAAGTGAACTTCCCTWGCTTAGATTACAACATACACCTAATTGCAACAATGTTGTCAGAGAAATAAGAAAGCGTTCGGCCTGAGTGATCTTCTTTTTCTATTTAATTTATACCTTCTTACAAATGTTCGTTTTTCTATGACAATGTTTTTGCGAGTAGGTGTATATCATGCTCTATTTCAAAGGAAGCTTCTGGGGACGTCTAATTTTTCTAATGCTTCTTATCGTCTTAACAAGTTTAGAATTTCATTATGCTATTCCAGCCTGAACTGGAATTTTAAGAATATTCAGTTGCTTAAAACTTCTATGAAATGAGATGTATGCATATTTGCCACCGCCACCGCCACAAACGAAAAGTCATTGTTTTACATTCCTTAATCACAATTATGGATTGGTGGTATTCACCAAAAGGTGTTTATTATTTGTTAATACGAAGGATTTTATTTGCTAGTTCACACCAAATTTAACATTCGTATGTGTCATAAATACAGTTGACCGGAACCAAAACTGTCGTGGTTGGGTTGGCGCGCTAATCTGTATTTCCTGTTTAACAAATGGCAGCATTTATCAAGTTACAGCATAGTTAGAAACTATGGGCTTAAAAAWGGAGAGAGAATTTAAATACTAAGAGATTTTATTTTGATGAATGGCAACATTTAGACGATTAAATATATACTTAATTATTGAAAACTTAAAATAAAAGTAATAGCGATGTTGTAAACTAAATGGTACAAAAGGACCTATGGAAGAGCTAAGTAACAACATCATGCCTACATTATATAAAACAAAACAACCTACATCTAATTTAACAACATAAAAACGAACTCGAAAAACGTTTCTATAGGTTAAGAAACCTTGACCCAATACAGCTTTTCTAACTCCCTAGGAGTCAAACAAAATAATGCTACTTAAAATGCCGATGTATAGGTGAGCCGGATAGAGGACAAAATCCTATTGCATTTGACATATTCCAGATTGTAAGGCACTAGTGTTTGAATACGAACTAGATAAAAGGTCAACTCGTAGTTCAGATTCAAAAGAAAAACTCCACAAATGCTACCCATTTGTAATGACGTTTACTAACATAAACAACGCGTTATTTTGACATATCATGACACGTTGCTGATATAAAACAATAACATTACAAAACGGGAGGMGAACTGAGATTAGATATTATATACAAAGAAATTAAATAAGCTAGAGGATGCCGGTCGCCTTCTGTCATCTTGCCATCTGTGGATTAGAGATTCCATGGCTTTTGCAGTCAATTCTTAAGTCAAGAGTTCTAAAAATCACGACAGACGACTGTCTTTTGGACAGATTAAACCTGATCACAAAAAAATACATGAATCTACAAGTAATTTTTATCATAAAATCACTTTCTCTTGTTGTCGACGACAGACTGASAGACTGGTAAATCAAAGTCATAAGATTATTGAAGTCTTAGCCGCCTTCAGTAAATTTGCTGCCATCTTGTTTGCATTAAAGTAATACTGTAAAAACCAATTAACAGCTAATCATTATCAAGCAAGTTCAGCCCCTCAATTATTAAACACAATCGAATATTTTGGTTTGGTTGTTCGATCATACAGTACCCTGATAACTACACCCTAGGGAGCTATAACGGATGGATACTAATCCAGAGGCAATAAAGATGAGAAGGAGGGGATTTCACACTTTTGATTCGTTGCTATATCCCTAGGTGGCATTGTCATTTATTACTTGTCAAGTGAATATTGGTAATTGCTTTTTAAAGAGGCGCATAACCGATTTTTCTTTTGTAACTTCGTTAAGGTGTAATCTAACTCATCCTGACACTTGGCTTCAAACATCAAATATCTAATCCCAGTCTAAACAAACGCAAATCCGAGAAGCTCAAACATGACTGTCTATTTGGATTTACCATCAGTATGAAAAAATCTTGGTATTTGCGTAAAATCCTTATTTTATGCATTCTTTCGATGACAGTCAGATAAAACCCACCTSAAATCTCAACTAATGCTTCCCCAACCCACGTCAAACTAAAGAAGCTTAAAATCAAGATGTTTTAGAATCTGATAAGCACTTACCAGGACCAAGTGTGGAAACACAATGCGACGCTTGAATTCTTTCYTTGCCTTGAACTGGTGTCTTGCTAAGATATCGAAAGCAGTATGCTTTAATGTACTCTTTGAATAAAGTACACGGGAAAAACACTACAGTGTGACCTGGTAGAGCGGGCCTCTGCGATATATATCGACCAGAGTTCTGTTCGTACACACTGATAATGTCGGTTGTCTTATGGCACTCCGGCGCAGTAAATGATATTGCAAACGAGTTGGAGCATGGGAATATAGTTTTTGTTGGTGTGTAGAGAGAGTGTTTACTCCATCTAACATTCACGGGCTGGCTTTTTGACAACGATCGATTGTGATATCCAGAAACGTACTCGAAGTAATATGTTTGAGCAATATCAAACAAGTCACAGCTAAATCCCATTCGAATCCTCTGTAGTGGTCCTCTCTGTTTACCATTTCTCACTTTCCGAACAATACGATGTGTTATTAAGATCTTGTGCTTTCCTCTTAAATAATAAAGATTCACTTTGTCTCTATATCGTCTAGATTTAGGCAAACACGACCGATTATGGTAGATCCAAATAGAGCCAAAGCGTGTTAGTGTTGTGTGATTCTGTGGAGATTCTATCTTGATATCTCCCCATTTTAAGTTTAAGGTTTCGTTCAGTGTAGCCGCAGGTCCGCCTTCAGAGACTTTGTAGGTTATACTGTATTTGCCTGCATGATCGAACAGGTCGCAAGGTAATTTAACAGTAAGGTTTTGACGTATAATGGCAACTTTGAATGTACGAAGTCGTTGTTGTAAATCTGCGTCCATAACTGAGAGGGTTAGTGATCGTGGTGACGTATTGTTGACCAGATGTAAAGGTATTCCAAACGAAACATTCACTTCCCCGCTAAGAACGGTTGAAATGGTGGACAGCTTTGTTACTATAAGTGCGTGTGCCAGATCTGATGAAATACAAATCATGATATTAGTACGTATGACCTTCGTTTAACTTTCGGTGTTCATAATTTTCAATCAACCAGGCAATTACAGAGAACTATGACGGCCATCGCTCCAGGCAATGTTTATATTACAAACCAGAGAGAAGATAAAYAAAGCTAACTACCGTTTAAATGCTCTTTTGTGCCTTAAACAAACAGACAAAATCTGCTGTTGGCTAAATATTCCCCCAATCGCTCAAATAAAATCGAATGTTCTTGTAGCTGATGTTGTGTGAATTTCACGGCTCGTGTTTTCACCACATCGACGATAGACAAACCGGTAATGAGAGCCTCTAGCAACTAGAATCATGACTAAAAATTATAGATTTAAAATATCCAAARCCCGGGTTGACCACTCACCAGATTTAATTGATGATAGAAGTGCAATCGCCACGTACACTCGTCGGTAAAAATTCCCATTAGTCGTCATGTTCGTGGAGTCATGGACATCTCTCTCTGGCGCTCTGGAGCTGAAAGATTCGAGACAAGCGTATATATCAAGACGTGCGCGATGCTGTCAACTAAATCTATTTGTCAAGCTTAACTATTTAAGCCGCTCTAATTTAATTGTCACAATCATATTGTTATATTGTAATGTAAAATCAATTAGCATTCCACGCCTATTTACATCTTTTGTGGCGTTAACAATGTGCTCAACTCCAAACCAATGAAATGACTCCCTTACGAAAGGCACAGTGTTATTATTAAGCAGATGTTTTCAACACAACTCAAATTCATGCACCTCGTAAAAGATTTCTGTCGTTTGTACAACAGTTTAGATGTATTAAAAAATATTTTTAAAACATGTTTTTACTGGAGACCGCCTACATCTTCTGTTGACCTAACTGATAAGGCAAGTTTGCCATTTTAAACTAATATTAATTCTTGTTTTTTATGTCTTATATAATTGATATAGTTTTCTTGTGGTCTAGAGTAATGTATTTATACAGTGTGTTCATTACTGAGGGTCAAAGAAAGCGTACGAAGAACTGTATTTTAAAAAATAAATGTGAATAGTGTTTAGTTGCCTCGTTACTAGTAACCCATTTACAGTATTGTGTTGACTATCGCGCTACGGAGAGTCGTCTGGCGCAGTCAACCGATAATTTCTCATTCCCGCTGGGCTATAGCGAGCTAAATACTTGATGTTTTGAAAATAATTATGAATTAACAATGGAATTCCCTCCCGAAAACGCCCCCATCTTTATTCTTGTAATCTAGGCACGTGGAGACTAGGTCAATCTGTGGCATTCTTTACGTCAACATCGACAACATCTCTCTCACTTGGTCGAGCAAACTCGAAAATACATTAATCTAGGCTAGAATTACAATTTACATTTCCTTGTAAAGTTCCAGATCAGAGGTAGAAAAGTAAATGTATATACATGATTAATGATCAAAATAAGTAAACAGAGTGTTGGCAGAAGGATTTGGCATGGGAAACCTTACTAGTCAAGATTTCTAAACCGATTAGGAGCTTCAGAATATTACAGTCTCCAGGCACTGCTTTCTCGATATTGGTCAACCATGAGTTATTCGTTCCTCATTTAGCGAAGTAAAAGTCATAGCAATACTCTTAACTTAAACACAAACATCGTCCACAGTAAATATCCCAACATTGCTTTCCTCACCTGAATCGAGTTCAGTGAAAAGTACACAGGAACAAAACTGTGCGAAGACTTCTTCTATGGCGTAAGACGACACTGATTTATATGTGAATATCGATTATAAATCGTAGAATGCTGCTTGTTCAAGATATATGAAGGTTCTTTAGAACATTTGAAACCAATTTCTCTTGCGAAAGGTATGGTAAGAAATGCTCCACAACATTTCAATCGATCGTGACACAATCCTTCGCAAAGTGTTGTCTCCGGGCAGGCAACCTTTCAAGTTTGCTAGCACTAATAGCTTAATCCTCTCAGGATCGTCGTTTACCAACACCTTACTTGTTCATCGGTAAACAAGATCGAGGTTGTGACCCAAATACAAATAGTTCTCTTGGCAAAGATCTTGTCATTTCCAACGATTCAAAACATACATAAGAGACGCTAAAAACAACTAATTACAGAAAAGGTACTCTTCTAGCGTTTAGTGAGCACTCGCTATGGCCTAATGGACACTGGTCCTTACTGCTTCGGCTACCGGAAGCACTGTGAGGTGATGGCAATCAGCCGTGTATCTTTCAAAACCTATATTTTGTCCATTATGCTGATTGTCCACGTGTCTGCCTATCAGCTTTGCTTCATTCTCTGCTCATTTGCATCAAATAACGTTATCTTCCATTTGACAACCTCTTGTCAACCACAAGTAGACTCTAACCAAGAATTGACAAGAGTATTAGTCTTTGATGAGATGGGAGGGTTATTTTGCTACATGACCAATCAAACACAATGGTGTGCCAAAATAAATTCGTACAGAAAGTTTTACCCAAACAATMATATCCTTTCCTCTTGAGATCTTTTGTGGTGTACGTCGTTTACACGCCTCGACGACTCTTGTCATCTACTGCTTTTAAAAATATCCTGATGCAATACTTCGCTCTAATTAATTGACGAAGAACATCTTTCCAGGCGTCAATCAGGTGTCCTTTTCCCTCGTTTACACGCACTGAAATGTGTGAAGTTCTTGTGTTTGTTTTAGCGAAAGCAAAAGCATYATGAGAATTATCGATTTACATTTGAATGCTATGCAAATCCTGACAAATATGTACATGTATGTTGCATATTTTTCTACTATTATAAGGCAAAATCAACATGAAAACTTCCAATTTCTTTTCTGTGTATTTTGAATCGTTTTTAGCAAATATTCTTTCATGAAAAGAAACAAACGTATTGGAAACTTCGTCACATTTGATTATCGATACACGTGAAAAGAAGGAATAACATAT